CCCTACACAATACCCTTTCCTACATTCCTCCAGAACCTCTTCCTCRGACCGCTCGATAACTTGTAACCCCGGGTTATCTACAAACAGTTTTCTCATTCCTTCAGCGTAGAATATGGGGCAGCAGGCAAACGTATCACCATGGTTATGATCCAGTGAACACAACACAAGTCCTTCGAGCTCCTTCCTGCATAGCTCCACTCTTCCCTCATCAATAACTGGGCCCTAAGTTTCTTCATAAGAAAGACAGTTGTTGAAGCATCCGTCAGATACAACAACCTTATCGCCAAAGGAGGAGAGGGAAGACGCAACCTGCCTGCGCCGCGATCCTGGGTTTACAGCGTAAGAGGGAGAAATAATATCCTTGGAGTTATTAAGAAAGCGGGGAAGACAATCTACTTGACTGAAGCGAAATTTAACATGCCCATCCTGCCTAGGAAACTGGGTGGCAGTATCCGTACACGAACAAACAAGGTCACCCCGAGACGAATAAAGGCGAAAATTATAAATCAATTGCCCAATAGAGTGGTTCTTTGTCCAAACAAGCCTAAAGCGGCGACATACATTTTCAAGATACGTTGCGGGATATTCTAATCTTCGAATAATGTCTTTGCAAGCATCACGGAGCCTATCCTTCAGAATACCATTGTCAAAACGAACTCTAACCACAAGACGTGCAGACAGACATAGTGAAAATTTCCTACGACAGACAGAGGACAATATCAATTTCAGGGTAGTTCAGGATCTTATTGAGGAACTAGTACGTATGGCATCATACAACTGAATGAGATAGTCAAGTTCGAAGTCTTTAAGCTCTTTCCTAGCGGGAGGTGTACTAAGTAAACGGATCAAGGTGTTCTTACGAGGTAGGGCGCACGAGCAGAAATGAGCAACGGAGTGAAAATAAATGACAGAGCCTGCATTGAACCAAGCCCGACAGTTCTTCAGGAGGGAAATAGGGAAGTCAGCAGTCGAAACAGAGGAAGAACCAAATAGCCGTTTAATCAGCTTCCATTTATCACAGAAGGAAGATCCGGAGGGAATAAGAATAGAAAAGGGTGTAGTGATTTTGAGGTTTGCTGAGTGTTGAAGAATCCGGACAAGGCTTGAAGAGACGTAACCAAAGGAGGATTCAAACATAAAGGGGTCATACCTACATTTCCTACCTCTGTCTTGTATAACCAGACCCAGTTTCTTCCGTTGTTTAAACCTTTCCTTTCTACCCCGGCGAGGACGTTTCCGAGAGAGCGTGCCATGTCTTCTACGATTACTAATCGAATTGAGGGTAGGTGAGAAAAAGTTGATAAAGAATTTCTCCAGATTCAGAATATCTTGCTCAGGTCCAGTAAAAATCGGGATAGCTACGTAGCAGTTCAAGCCCACTCTTCTTAACCATCTGTACAGCTTCCGATTAGCGTGTGAGGGAGAAACTAAAGGATGAGTGGATGCAATATGCTCACGCCATCTAACTCCCAAAGATCTCTTAGTGTAACCAATATACACATGGCGGTACCAAGGGGAGACCAAGGCATAGACAACCGGGCCAGGACAGGAAAATAAATCGTAATTCCTACTAACCAACGCAAGGACGAGATCATGAAACTTATTACACCAATCCAAATTACCATGAAGAATCAGCAGAATAACAATCAGTCTATAAACAAAATGAAACAACGTACTTGCCAGATCATCATAGAAATCACGACAGAACAGAGCCAGATCACGTAGTTGTGACGTGGCCAGGGAGTCCCCTCAAGCGTCATCAACATCTTCGGCTGAAGTGGCGTAGTGCAAGTCCCAGTCCCCTTCATCAACGGCGTCTTTTTCTTTTAACCCAGCATCATAATCTCGGCTTGCTCTGATTTCAGCAATGTCTCCTCTGGCTTGATCCAGTTTAACGTAGGTGATTCCTTCCTTGGCACAGGCTTCTTCCATGTCACTCTTCTTAGCCTGCCGTAGTTCCTTCAGCCTGATGTCCCGGAAGGCGGCCAACTTGGCGACCTCAAGATCACGAGCAGCGGTCGTCCCCTCCCGTTCAAGTCTGCGTTCCTCCCCCTGGGTCTTGTCGGCAACATCATCATCGGGTATCTCTTCCACCTCTTCGAAGCAAGTTCTCAGATTCCGTGGCGTAGTCTTCTTTGAGGATTGCCTTCGAGCAGAGAGTCGGATCCGCGAAGCCCCCATTCTGGCCATTCGATCCTTAAGCATTTGCGCCTCCTTGAGCGCCACCTCCTTGCCTGCGAGTGCTTCCTTGTAAGCTTTGTGGAGAGCGCTTAGGTCTTTTGGTGTATACATAGCCGTAGTGGAAGGATCAGCGCGCGCTTTACCTTTCGCAGGTTCTTCCGGAGGGCTGTTTTCAGTGATGACTCCCAAACCTCTTTTTCCTTGAAGAGCAAGGAAGTCCTCACGTAACCCGGCCACATCCCTCTTCAAATGCTGATTCTCAGACTTCAACATGGATACTTCGGCATTCTTCTCCTCCAAGGTGGCACGGAAGGCGTCGGAAGCCACTGAGTTCCTTGATTTGTTGTTGCAATGCCAGTATTTCATCCTGTTTCCCATTGCCGTGCGTGTGTTGCTCATTGCGGCTTCTTAACTCCGCGATCTCCTTAACTAACCGCTCTTCTTCCGACTCCTGATGTCTCGCTTTGAGCAAGGCCTCTTTCTCCTTTCGTAGAGCTTCCAAACGGTGATCATTCTCCCGTGAACTACTCGATGCCTCCGAAGACTTCGCCCGTAGTTCCTCAAGTTCCTTCCGCAGTTTCGCCACTTCACAGTCATCCTTCCTCGGGTATATCCACCTTCCTCCCGAGTGCAGACTCACAAACCGCTTTGACACTGGTTCTCACAATTTTGCCCAACCTTGCCTCTTGCTGCTCGCGTTCCTTGTTTGCCTGGATTCTTCTATCCTCCTCAGCTTGTAACTTCTTCTTCTCCTCCTCCAATAACTCCAATTTAGCTGACTCCTGCTTCCGTCGCTCACGCTCCTCAACTTGTTCTGAGAGTAAGCCGCACATCCTATCCAGTTTCTCATCCCTTTCACGCTCCCGGTCCCAATCTTTGTACCAATATCGTTGCTCGTCAGCGTAGTTCCTTCGACCATAGTAAGTGTTGCCGCCACGTTGGTAATTCCCCCCATTGCCAGCTTGACCCCTATCTTGCGGTGCTTGATATGGTACGATAGCATTAGAGGTCCCCGAACTTTGAGTCGGAGCCTGCAGAAGACCTTGCCCTCCTCCACTGTTATATCCGGCTGATCCGTTCTCTCGAATGCGCGCTGCCATCTCCGCTCCGTTGGGCTGGAAACGGAATGGACACTCCCGTATGAAATGGCCGGGGAGATGACAGAAGTGACATCCATTGCTCTGATACGCCATACTCTTCTCCTTGGGACTACCGCGTCCCACCGGGACTACCTCGTCCCACCGTAAGATCCTGAATCTGGTCATATTGTAGGCACAGATGCAGAAAAGCAATTCAATCTCCATTCTTGCACCTGTCCGCAAACACATCCAGATTAAGGCATTCCATCCAATCCACTTTGCTAATGGGACCTCGCCCCCTCACTTTCGGGCAATTGCCAAAATGGTGCCTCGTGTGGTCACACACAGCGCGAGCTCCAAATCCTTCAACTTAATTTTTTTTTTTTTTAAGTTCGTTTCAAATTTCCTTTCACCAACTCCCGAACTGAAGAAGAAAAAAAAAAAATTGCTACCACCTCCAAGAGCTACCAGTAGGTCCCACTAGCAAAGAGAAGTGGATTGAGCGCGTGGAAAGTTGCAGGAAATCAAAATTCAACTGCTTTTCTGCATCTCTTCTCAAAACACGTCCACATGCAGGAGCTTAATCCAATCCTCTCTGCTAGTGTGACCAC